ATTTTTGTTCAGTTACACGTTTCTACTTTAAAAGTAACAGATGCTTAGCATTTTTATGAAATGCACAGGACTGAAAGGGAGAGTGAAAATTAAAACATCCCGGGCTGGGGATATGGCTTAGTGACAGAGCGCTTGCCTAGCGTGCGCGGGGCCCTGGATTCCATTCTCAGCACCGGGGGAAAAAATTAAAAGGTCCCATTCTCTAGTGCTACTTCCTGAAGTTCTGGAAGAGGTGCAAATGACACTTTCTGGGCGTGTACAAATAAGCGCACGAATGTTTTCTGTATTGCTGGGGAACGTTCGTCATATGCCACGGAGATAAATTGTAGTAGATTTGTGGTTTCGTGGCATGTGGATTCTCTCCTTATAGTTTTCTGGAGGCTGGTTCTGCTTCTGATTGTCAGTCAGTGTTCAATACTTTAGGGTTGTCAGATGTGAATGTTCAATAAATGGAGAGAGAAGGCGTTTGAAGTGGAAAAAAATACTTAGAAGAAGACTGGAGGAGCTGTTGGAAGCTTATCTGGATTCTTATCTGGGCTCTGTTGCCCAGGACTGTTCAGGGTAGTGATTCTCACCTGCAAAGTGAGGGTGCTGCTTGATCTCAGACTGGCAGGTATGAAGAGAACCAGCAGGAAGCACTAACAGGTGGTTCCAGGGCTTGTTACTTACTGCCTTGTCACACCTGCCCTATCTCACAAACAGCTGCAAAGTCTCAGGTTGGTGGCTGGTTTGTTTGGCCATCTTGGCTGTCACCAGCACTTGGAAGTATTCTGTAGTAGAAACTGAGGTCCAAGGGGACTCCAAGAACTGTCATTGTTTGTTCAGGCCATCTGAACATGATATGGATCTTTCTTCTTTTCTCCCTCTTTGACACTTGTTTCCTGTCACTCCCAAACTCAAGATTCTACTAAGAAGCTAATGAGCTGGCCTTGGGTCAGGTGTAAGTCCCAGGAAAAAGCACTTAGAATCACAGACTTATCATCTGGGTGTGTCCTTACTGGTGTCACATCTTGAGGATCCTTTCTACCCACCAGTGTACCAGCCTGTCACATTTCCCCTTACATCTCTTTCACTTTCAGGGGATGCATAGGTAGATTCTTGCTTAATTAATATTTTCTGAGCATTACAGATTGCATCCTAGTGTCTGTGCTAGGAGCTTTCCTTCCATTTTTTTAGAAAAAAATTTTTTTTTCTGGTACAGAGAATTGAACTCAGGACCTTGTGCTTGCCAGGGAGGCATGGGCCCCCTGAGATACATCCCTGGCAAGAAAAATAATTTATATTTAATATTTACTGAACAGTTAAATTCATTTTGGGGTTCAAGTCTGTCAGTTTTGGTTATTTTTTTTTTGGTAGCGGGGATCAAACTCGGGACCTTGCGCTTTCCTGGCAGGCACTGGAACCACTGAGCCAAATCCCAGGCCCAGGACTATGAGTTTTGACAAATACAAGCCAGGGATTTAGCTCAGTGGTTCCGCCATCTGCCTCAAAAGCACAAGGTCCCGAGTTTGATCCCCGATACCAAAAAAAAACCCAAATACATAAAGTCATATAGTTAAGGTACAGAATAGATCCACTGCCCCTCAAATTCTCTCTTGCTCCTGCTTTAGGACCTCTTGCCACTACTGATGTGGCCTCAACCTTCAGTTTTGTCTTTCCCAGAATGTCCTATAAATGAATTATACAACAGGCAGCCTTTGGAGAGGCTTCTTTCATTTAGCATAATAGATCTGAGATCCCTAGGAGTAGGATCAGCTGTTTCATTCCCTGGAACAGCCAAGAAGAAAGACCTAACCCCTGGGCCTTCCTCTGCAGCCATGTCTGAGCTCAGCGATGAAGCCAGTGAGCCGGAGCTCCTGAACAGCAGTTTGTCCATGTGGCACGGGCTGGGGACTCAGGTCAGCCGGGAGGAGCTGGACGTCCCCCTGGATCTTCACACAGCGGCTTCCATTGGCCAGTATGAGGTGGTGAAGGAATGTGTGCAGCGGTAAGAGGTCCTGGGGAGCGTCCCTTTGTCTCACATTTTTAATAACATCTCAGTGGCTTCAGAGCCCATGAGATGGACCTTGCATATAGTTGTAGACATCTGATACCCATGGATGGGCAAGCCCTGGTGGTTGGGCCCATTATCAGTGATGACTTATGTTGGCAGTAACAAAGAAGACAGTTTTGCTGGGTGTGATGGTGCATGCCTGTAATCCCAGCTACTCTGGAGACTGAGTCAGGAGGATCACAGGTTCCAGCCCACATGAGCTACATGGTGAGACCTCATGTCAACAGTAAAAAGGCTGGGGATGTCACTCAATTACAGCACTTGCCTAGCATGTGAAAAGTCCTGAGTACAATCTATGGTCAAAAAAAAAAAGAAAGAGAGAGAGAGAGAAACTTTGATTCCAAGACAGAAAAAGATGGCTTAACCTTTTCCTCCTCAGTTCCGGGAATGGTACCCAGGGCCTCACACATGGTAGACCAGAAGTGTACCACTGAGTTACATCTTCAGACCCAAGATAATTTAAACTTTATCATAGACTCTCTTTGATCATAGGCTTATAAACATTAATCTATACTTTTACTAGTATAGCT